ATGACAACTTTGGCAGAATTCTACAGCTGGCAAAGTTGTTGGATCATTTCAGTACAAAAATGTAACTTTTCTACAGGCTGTTTGAGGTCCAATTGCAACATCACACACTTGATATCTAGAGATGAGTACTTCTATAAACCTCTGTGCATTTACCTGGGAATTGTTCTAGTGGAATTGCTCTGATTACATTCTTTAAATATCCTTCCTCTAACATTGAAAGAGTGTGACTTGTTCAAGGTATTATTATTATTATTATTATTATTATTTTTTATTATTATTATTATTATTATTATTATTATTATTATTATTATGGTGTGTCAGGAGTGACTTGAGAAACTGTAAGTCACTTCTGGTGTGAGAGAGTTGGCCGTCAGCAAGGATGTTGCCCAGAGGATGCCCAGATGAATGATGTTTTACCATCCTGTGGGAGGCTTCTCTCATGTCCTTGTATGGGGAACTAGAGCTGAGATGGGAGCTCACCCCACTCCCCGAATTCGAACCGCAATGCTGCTTTGTATAGACTACAGCTGGCAAAGTTGTACTTTTTTGGGTAAGGTGCTGGAACGGGTGGTCGCCTCTCAGCTCCAGGACTTTTTGGATAACATCAATTACCTAGATCAGTCACAGTCTGGTTTCAGGCCTGGTCACGGCACCGAGACAGCCTTGGTCGCCTTGGTGGATGACCTCCGTAGAGAGCTGGACAGGGGGAGTGTGACTCTGTTGGTTCTCTTGGACATCTCAGCGGCTTTCGATACCATCGATCATGGTATCCTTCTGGGTCGTCTCTCTGGGATGGGTCTCGGGGGCACGGTTTTGTCGTGGCTCCGGTCCTTCCTCGAGGGACGAACCCAGATGGTGAAGCTGGGAGACGCCTGCTCGGACCCCTGGCCTTTGACCTGTGGGGTCCCACAAGGCTCTATTCTGTCTCCCATGCTTTTTAACATCTACATGAAACCGCTGGGAGAGGTCATCCGGAGTTTTGGAGTTGGGTGCCATCTCTATGCAGATGACACACAACTCTACTACTCTTTTCCACCTAATTCCAAGGAAGCCTCTCGGGTGCTTCAAGTGCTGGCCGCTGTGTCTATCTGGATGAGGAGGAACAAGCTGAAGATCAATCCCGACAAGACAGAGGTCCTCCTGGTCGATCGCAAACCGATCGGGGTATAGGGTGGCAACCTGTGTTGGACGGGGTTACACTCCCCCTGAAGCCACAGGTCCGCAGTTTGGGAGTCCTCTTGGATTCATCGCTCACGCTTGAGGCTCAGGCGTCGGCGGTGTCCGGGAGGGCTTTTGCACAATTGAGACTTGTGCGCCAGCTGCGACCGTACCTCGCGAAGGCTGATCTGGCCGGGGTGGTCCATGCCTTGGTCACCTCTAGATTGGACTACTGCAATGCGCTCTACGTAGGGCTGCCCTTGAAAACGGCTCGGAAATTCCAACTGGTCCAACGGGCAGCAGCCAGGATGTTAACTGGCACTCTTTACAGAGAGAGGTCAACCCTCCTGTTCAAGGAGCTCCATTGGCTGCCGTTTACCTACTGAGCCCAATTTAAGGTGCAGGTGCTTACTTTCAAAGCCCTAAACGGTTTGGGACCATCCTACCTGCGTGACCGCATCTCCGTCTATGAACCCACATGTTCACTCCGATCATCCGGAGAGGCCCTGCTCGTGATTCCGCCTGCATCGCAGGCGCGCTTGGTGGGGACTCGAGACAGGGCCTTTTCTGTGGTGGCCCCCCCGCCTCTGGAACACCTCCCAAAAGATCTTAGACAGGCCCCTACATTGGCAGTCTTCAGAAAGAACTTGAAGACCTGGCTGTTCCGATGTGCCTTCCCAGATTAGGAATCTCCAATACCAAGTCCCAGAAGCACTTTAGTAGAACTAAGATCGCTGCACACTGCACACTGCACTTACTATATAATCCTACATACCTCCTGCCACATCAGCACTTTTAATCTTGTACCCATTACTCTGGCCCGGCCCAGTTTTTATAGTGTCTTGATGTATTGTTTATTGTTGTTGTTTATACTGCTTAACTGTTTTTAATTTGCTTTAGGTGTTGTTTTGTTGTGTTGTGTTTTGAGGCCTTGGCCTATGTAAGCCACATCGAGTCCTTCGGGAGATGCTAGCGGGGTACAAATAAAGTAATAATAATAATAATAATAATAATAATAATAATAATAATAATAGAGAATACACAGACAGATAGAACAGAAGGAGGTGGTTTGTTTCAGCTGTTTTGGGTGCCATGGAAGGTATTGGCTGCTATCCTGCCACACAACATTCATTGTGATCTGCACTTCTACTAGTTCTTTGGTCCTTTAAACTTTTTTTTAAAAAAAGAATGGCCACTTACCCCAATTTTTGGTCAAGGGTCCACAGTGGAAGGATTAAGGTTGGGCCAAATACATTGATGGAAGGAGAACAAGGCCAGTTGGTTAAATGATAATTCCTACCAGGAGAATACAAATTAGAAAAGGCATTTGCCAACTGAGGCAGAAAATGTAAAGGGAAAGACACCTCTCACCTTTCCTCAAAGGAAGGCAGAAACAAGACAAAACAAGAAAAAAAATCCACCATTTGTTGCCCCTTTGTGATCCTTACTGCCAACTGCTTCACCCTAGCTCCCCTACTCCAGCTTTAACTGCCACGGAACAATTGGTGCATCACAATGGAAGACATGGTGCATCATCCATGCCCTGTGTAGGCCACAATGGGATGGCAATAAGCATCCTGGCACCACTTCAAGTGCCATGGCTCAAATCCTGAAAGCATTTCCTGGGTAGGATATGTCAGCGCATCTTGGCATGAGATAGATGAATCTTCAACCCAGTAACAAAACAGACCCTATGTTCTCATACACAGACACATAGGCAGTTGCTCTCACAAGAGTGAGATTTCTATTTATTACCTCTTGAATCTATACTAGGGAGCTATGCTACTTTGATAAACCAGACTATGGCCTAGTGCAGGCATCCTCAAACTGCAGCCCTCCAGCTGGCCAGATCACAGTTCCTCAAACTGTTGGAGGGCCGGATTATAATTTGAAAAAAATGAATTCCTATGCACACTGCACATATCTTATTTGTAGTGCAAAAAAACACTTAAAAACAATACAATAATTAAAATGAAGAACAATTTTAACAAATATAAACTTATTAGTATTTCAATGGGAAGTGTGGGCCTGCTTTTGCTGATGAGATAGGATTGTTGTTGTTGTTGTTGTTGTTGTGTGCTTTCAAGTAGTTTCAGACTTAGGTTGACCCTGAGCGAGGGCCGGGTAAATGACCTTGAAGGCCATATCTAGCTACCGGGCCTTAGTTTGAGGGACCCTGGCCTAGTGGTGTGGACTCCAACTGAATACTAGGGTTCGAATCCCTATTCAACCACAGAAATCTTTTGGATGACTTTGGGTGAGATGCACATTCTCACAGCCAGAAAACCTCGGTAAATAGGTTCACTTCAGGATTGCCATACTACGCATACAGTAAATATGATATTCAAACTGTGGATCCTCTGGATGCATCCAGAGGAGGGTGATTAAAATGATAAAAGGTCTGGAAATTGTACCCTATGAGAAGCAGCTCAAAGAACTGGGCTTGTTTAGCCTGTAGAAGAGAAGGTTGAGAAGAGACATGATCGCCATGTTTAAATATGTGAAAGGATATCATAATGTATTTTTGAAGGCTTTCATGGCCGGAATCACTGGGTTGCTGTGAGTTTTTCAGGATGTATGGCCATGACTACCACTCAGAAACAGGAGAACACCAGGCAACAAACAATCAAGGGCCAGTTAACTCCTCCCAAACAGAGGATACATCCAAGCAACAAAGGCCAGTCTAACTCTACGCAGATACCCTCACTGACTGACTTTACAAACTTCATGGCTATTCAAATGCTAACTCCAGCTTACTAATTGCAATATTAACATTTCCTTAAACAGACAAGGGTTCTTTCTCCCACCCTGGACATTCCATAGGTATATATACACTCCATTTACTTCATTGCCAACAGAACCTCTGAAAATGCCAGCCACAGATGCAGGCATAACGTTAGGAGAGAATGCTACTGGAACATGGCCATACAGTCCGAAAAACTTTACCACAACCCAAATATCATAATGAAAAGGGAGAAGACTTATTTTCTCCCCCTTATGTTTTCTGCTGCCTTGAAGACTAGGACTAGGAGCAATGGGTTCAAATTACAGGAAAGGGGATTCTGGGTTGTTGTAGTTTTTTTCAGGCTATATGGCCATGTTCTAGAGGCATTTTCTCCTGACATTTCGCCTGCATCTATGGCAAGCATCCTCAGAGGTAGTGAGGTCTATTGGAACTAGGAAAGTGGGTTTATATATCTGTGGAATGACCAGGGTGGGACAAAGAACTCTTGTCTGTTGGAGCTAGGTGTGAATGTTTCAACTGACCACCTTGATTAGCATTTGATGGCCTGACAGTGCCTGGGGCAATCTTTTGTTGAGAGGTGATTAGATGTGCCTGATTGTTTCCCTCTGTTGTTTTGCTGTTGTAATTTTAGAGTTTTTTAATACTGGTAGCCAGATTTTGTACATTTTCATGGTTTCCTCCTTTCTGTTGAAATTGTCCACGTGATTGTGGATTTCAATGGCTTCTACTTGAACATTAGGGGATTAGGGGATCCCCTGAACATTCAGGTGATTCTACCTGAACATTAGGAAGAACTTCTTGACCGTAAGAACTGTTCAACAGTGGACTTCTCTGCCTCGGAGCATGGTGGAAGCTCCTTCCTTGGAGGCTTTTAAACAGAGGTTGGATGGCCATCTGTTGGAGGTACTTTGATTGTACTTTTCCTGCATGGCAGAATGGGGTTGGACTGGATGGCCCTTGGGGGTCTCTTCCAGCTGTATGCTTCTCTCATCTCTGCCTCATGACAAGTTCTGTGCTCCTTAGGCTATTGCTCTGCAGCTCAAGAACACTACACTGGACGCGATTGGCCAAAACAGCTGGCTGGGATTCAAGGCAGCCTCTTTATATATTTATATATATTTTTGAGAAGCAGCAGCCTGTGCAACAGACGGAGCCGCAGCCTTTTCCACACAGTCCGCTTGGCATCAAGAAGGAAATAACTACAGGACAAGATGTGTAAGGGACTAGCAGCTTTGCCGCACACATGTCTGGAGAGGTGAGAGAATGAGGTTTATCTCTTTCAAGGAGGGAAATTAATGGGAAGAGGGATCAAAGGGCAACACTGCAAGACTTTTAGCCTATGTTCTTTGTCAAGAGAGAAAATGCATTTTCTTAGCTTTGAGACAAGACTGGCTAAAGCTATCCTGTTCTCATTCATCTCAGGAGACAGTACATGAGAACTGCCTGGCAAACTATTTGTGGTATTACATTTAGAAGATCTCACACAAACCCAATGGGCCGAGGAAGAGATTAGTGAAGTAGCCCGAAGTAGTACAGAAAATGTCTGTTGATTGAGTAATTGATCTTTGAGTCTATGCAGTGGCGGCTCAACCCATTACGCAAATTAAGCATTTGCAGTATAGTTGATTTTGCCCAAGGGCGCTCTTGGGGGAAAATAGACCTTGACATATGCAAGTTGTAGTTATTTGGGATGTATAGTTCACCTACAATCAAAGAGCATTCTGAACTCCACCAATGATGGAATTGAACCAAATATGGCACACAGAACTCCCACGACAAACGGAAAATATATATCAGTGATTGGTGGTGGGGATACCGTTTGCTTACCATTGAAAATTACCTAGGGCTGCCTCTATGTGAGATGTGATTACTAAAAATGGTTTGAATTTTGGTATAGAAACAATGGCAGGACTCTGATCAGATTGTTTTGATCTCATCCAGGTAGGAAGCAAATGGCATGTATAGAAAGTGTGTGGAGCTCTCCCATGAAGTATACAATATGTTACTACTATATACTGTTTTTCCCCTCCCAGTGGGTTTTACTTCAGTACTTGAACCCTCACTGGGAGAAAATAATGCCTCAAAAAGCCATTTCTGGGAAGGAAATTAAGACAGGGAATTTTTTTTTGTCGTGTCAGGAGCGACTTGAGAAACTGCAAGTCGCTTCTGGTGTGAGAGAATTGGCCGTCTGCAAGGATGTTGCCCAGGGGACGCCTGGATGATTTGATGATTTTATCATCCTTGTGGGAGGCTTCTCTCATGTCCCCGCATGAGGAGCTGGAGCTGATAGAGGGAGCTCATCCGCCTCTCCCTGGATTCGAACCTGCGACCTGTCGGTCTTCAGTCCTGCCGGCACAGGGGTTTAACCCACTGCGCCACCGGGGGCTCCACAGGGAAAATGCTTACTTCCTTTTCTATCTCCATCCATACTACGCTTTATACATTCAACTACTTTGAATGTGTCCAGCAGAATATGGGATCCTGAACAAGGATTTCCCTTTCTGATCTCATTCATTTATTAGTTAGGTCACATTTAGAAATGTTCTCTCTTATAACCATGCTCAGCCACATTTATATCCAGTTGATACATATATTATTTATTTAGTTTAATGCTGTAAATAAATAAATAAATAAATAAATAAATAAATAAATAAATACTACGCTTATATACCACCCCTCTCAGCCCAAGGGCGACCCGGAGCAGTTAAAAATAGGCAACAATTCGATGTCACTACAATATTTAGTAATAACGGTATTCGGCTAAATATTGTAGTGCTTACATTAAACCAAAGAACAATCTGAAGAAAATAAGATACATTTTCAGAATGTAAAAAAAAAATGATTCGTAGTGTATTTGAAATTTTAAAAATATATTAGGATTATAACCAAGAAATACAACGTAAACATCACAATATATTTTAAAATCCTGTTATACAAATTAAAAAAATAGTAGAACCCAAATACAATATTGAAGTGCAATTGCTGATTGATAAACAAACATATATTCATAAGTTGGAAACTAAAATATATTTAGTAAGGAGGTTCACATAAAGTTTTGGGTTCTCTTCTCCTCCTCTGCAGCCTATTGCGATCACCAAAAATCCTCTTCAGAGTGGTGATTCTCCTGAGTAATATGGGATAGGATATTAGATGTGGGAGTATTTGAGGGGAGGATTAGACAGAAGATATTTCATGAAGTTCTTTAACCACAATTATTGTATACTGGAATTCAGGACTCTTCTGCATGATGTCCTGATTTTCTAGTCCATGCCTTAGAATCATAGAATCATAGAGTTGGAAGAGACCTCATGGGCCATCCAGTCCAACCCTCTGCCAAGAAGCAGGAAAATTGCATTCAAAGCAAACTTGACAGATGGCCATCCAGCCTCTGTTTAAAAGCTTCCAAAGAAGGAGCCTCTACCACACTCCGGGACAGAGAGTTCCACTGCTGAACAGCTCTCACAGTCAGGAAGTTCTTCCTAATGTTCAGATGGAATCTTCTTTCTTGTAGTTTGAAGCCATTGCTCCACGTCCTAGTCTCCAGGGCAGCAGAAAACAAGTTCGCTCCCTCCTCCCTATGACTTCCTCTCACATATTTATACATGGCTATCATGTCTCCTCTCAGCCTTCTCTTCTTCAAGCCGTTCCTCATAGGGCTTCTTTAAGCTGCTCCTCATAGGGCTTGTTCTCCAGACCCTTGATCATTTTAGTCCTTCTCCTCTGGACACCTTCCAGCTTGTCAATATCTCTCTTCAACTGTGATGCCCAGAATTGGACACAATATTCCAGGTGTGGTCTAACCAAGGCAGAATAGAGGGGTAGCATGACTCCCCTGGATCTAGACAGAGAAGTCTATTGATGCAGACCAAAATCCCATTGGCTTTTTTGCCGCCGCATCACATTGTTGGCTCATGTTTAACTTGTTGTCCAGGAGGACTCCAAGATCTTTTTCACATGTACTGCTCTCGAGCCATGCGTCTCTTATTCTGTATCTTTGCATTTCATTTTTTCTGCCTAAGTGGAGTATCTTGCATTTGCCTTGTGTCTCATCTCATTCTATGATGCCTTCAAATAGGCTTTTCAAGGAGTGCAAGTGGCTATAGAGTGAAGAAATGCTGTCTATTAATACCTTTACCTTAGGATTCAAGATCTTAAGGTGGAAAGCTGGGTATCCAAGGTATAACTGGGTAAAGAAGAGAAAGAGGGAAAACTGTGCTTACATACATGCTTAGAAAAATAGAAACAGCCTGTAAACACTCCTGATTACTAATTTCACACCACTTGTTACGCAGAAAGTACAAGTATGATCCTCTTAAAAAGCACTTTCAGGGAACACAGTTCTATATTTGTTGAACTGAAGTACAAAAGGAGTTCAGTTTTGCCTCAGGGTGTGCTAACTCGTCTGTAACTGTTTCTTTTATTTTTATGGGTTTGCAAGCATAGAGCCCCAACCTGAGTCAAAAGTGATATACTCCAGACGCCAGTTTATCACGTCAGTGAGCACTCGAGCCAAGTAGGAATGTTTCTGCTTGCTCAGGCACCTTCTCTGTGTCAACATCTAGGGATGTCTCATCACTTAGTTCTAGAGTGGACAGCAATTTGGGGAGCAATATTTTCGTTTTATGAACTGCTGTGAGATAGTGGTTTAGGTGCTGGACTAGGACTCTGAAGATTTAAGGGCCCTGTAGCCCAGGTTCTGATCCCAGGTTTTCTCATTTAAACTTGATTATATGGGTCCCCACTGCCAGAAAATTTGTGATAAACAGAAAATTTGGGATCAGATCCTGGGATATAGGACCTGTCTGGAAGTCTGAATATTGGCTATGATAACCCACCAAGTCAGCATTTCTCAACCTGGGGGTCGAGACCCCTGGAGGGGTCACAAGGGGGATGTCAGAGGGGTCACCAATGACCATCAGAAAGCACAGTATTTTCCATTGGTCATGGGGGTTCTGTGTGGGACGTTTGGCCCAATTCTATGATTGGTAGTGTTCAGAATGCTCTTTGATTGAGGTGAACTATAAATCCCAGCAACTACAACTCCCAAATATCAAGTTCTGTTTCCCCCAAACTCCACCAGTGCTCACATTTGTACATCTTGTCCCAGGAGTCCCGTCCCCGTCCCCCCCTTGTACGTAGGTTTGTTTTAGTTTTAGGTTAGTTTTATCCCTTTATCTCACCTGGAGTTTTAAAATCATTTTATGTACATGCGGCCCGCTCTTTGTCCTTATGTTCAGTTCTTATGTTCTATGTATATTGTTTATATGCTTTGAAGTTTTATACTTTAATGTTATGTTGTTTATTTTATTGTAATTTTGTATTTTTTAAAATTGTAACCTGTTGTTTGGGCTTGGTCCCATGTAAGCTGCTCTGAGTTCCCGCTGAGGGAGATGGTGGCGGGGTATAAATAAATATTATTATTATTATTATTATTATTATTATTATTATCTTGAGTATTTGTAACAAATTTGGTCCTAATCCATTATTGTTTGAATCCACAGTAGTCTCTGAATGTAGGTGAACTACAACACCAAAACTCAAACTCCATTAAACCCTTCCAGTATTTTCTGTTGGTCATGGGTGTTCAGTGTGCCAAGCTTGGTTCAATTCCATCATTGCTGGAGTTCAGAATGCTATTTGATTGTAGGTTAACTATAAATCCCAGCAACTACAACTCCCAAATGACAAAATCAATCTCCCCGCAACCCCACTAGTATTCAAATTTGGGCATATTGGGTATTTGTGCCAAATTTGGTCCAGTGAATGAAAATACATTCTGCCTATCAGATACTTACATTACAGTTCATAACAGTAGAAAAATTACAGTTATGAAGTAGTAATGAAAATAATTTTATGGTTGGGGGCAGGCATGTAGCCGGGGGGGGGGGCTCCCCCCCCCCCGAAATTCTCAGGGCGGTCCGCGAGAAGGCCTTACTGGTACATTATTTAAACTGGGTTGTTGTAGGTTTTTTCGGGCTATATGGCCATGGTCTAGAGGCATTCTCTCCTGACGTTTCGCCTGCATCTATGGCAAGCATCCTCAGAGGTAGTGAGGTCTGTTGGAACTAGGAAAAAGGGTTTATATATCTGTGGAATGACCAGGGTGGGACAAAGGACTCTTGTCTGCTGGAGCTAGGTGTGCATGTTTCAACTGACCACCTTGATTAGCATATAATGGCCTGACAGTGCCTGGAGCAAACTTTTTAAAACTGTTATGTTTATTCATATAATGATCTGATCACCATGCTCAATATA